GCTTAATTGGAGTCGAATGGGTGGTGGCGATGCCAACGATGGAGGCGATTCAAATGAAAATGCCGGCAGCAAAGGAGGAGGAGAAGTCATGGTGAACATTCGATGCTCCAACGGCTCGAAATTCTCGGTGCACGTGAATTTGGACTCCACAGTCGAGTCCTTCAAGTCAATTCTCGCTCAGAACTGCGAAATTCCACCGCAGCAGCAGCGTCTCATCTACAAAGGTCGCATCTTGAAGGACGATCAAACGCTTCAGAGCTATGGTATATAACAATTGTTCAATCTATTACAATTGTTTTAGAGGAATTTAATAGGATTCTTTATTTTCAGGGTTTAATTTTTGAACCTGAACATGCTGGAAGTATTGATAGGTTGTTTTTTTTTCCCCGGCAGAGATTAGGTTATTACGGGTTTATCTGATGATATTGAAAAACGAATAATAAAGTGAAAGTATTGATTGAGAGATGTTATATTTGCGTCATTCATGTTGGAGTCCTGGAAATGCAATCTTGTTAGCAAATAAGGGTGTCAGAGAGTAGTTGGTAGACTTGAGATTTGAGGAATATGGAACTACTGATGCTCTGCTTTGCGGATAGAATAAGATTTGTGGTTTTACCAGGAAAATCTGTCCAAATAGCGTCGCGTTTCAATGGAAATTGGATAATAGAGAAGCAGAAAAGGAGAACATTAAGAAATCTATTCTCCTCCCTATTTAGAATTGAAAAAGAATTGAATTTTAAGGTTTATTTCTTCGTATCTGTATTTGAACCAAACTCAAGAAAAGCTTTTCTGTAATGTTATTCTTGCTGAAATGGAAGCCCATGGTCCAGTGGAGTTTTAATTTTTAATCAAAGATAGATTTGAACTTAAAAGAACTACCAAGTAGTCAGCAAAACCCCATTGCAGATCTCTTGCTCTCTCATATCTTTCCAAGAAAGTTGGTTTTCCCAAAAGAGCTAACTGGTCTCTCATTATTATATATATTTTGTTGGCTGCCTTTTCTCTTGTTCTGATTAACCACCTTATTATTTTCTTTTCCTGTAGTAATCATTGGTAGATATTGCAACCTTGGAGTTTGTTTTTTGCAGGGGCAACTATTTATTTATCTCGTAGTATGACATTGAATGCATGGAAGAATTGATTTATGGGGCCTTCTTTGGGAGTTTTTTATCATTTGACCTTATAAATATTTAATGATATACTACTTTTGTCATTTATTTTTCTACCGTGGGTTGCCTTAAATAATCTATTTCTGTGGTTGCTTTTTTATATGCACGTGTGATTAAAAGTCAAACCAATTCTAAAAATTTAAGCTAGCTGTCGAAACTATGTATAATTAAGTCATTTTTATTGGTGGTGTACAGGTCTGGAGGCAGATCACACTGTCCACTTGGTCCGTGGTTTTGCAACTAATGCCTCTGCCAATAGTACTGGTGCAACTGATGCTGGAAGTCCACATTCTAATCCCACTGTGACAGCAGATGCTGGTTCCAATGAAGGTGGAGCATTTGGAGGGTCTGGTTTTGGAGCTTCATTGTTTCCCGGGCTTGACTTGAATGGATTGGGAAGTGGGGGTGGATTATTTGGAGCCGGACTTCCAGATATGGAACATGTGCAGGCACAGTTGACTCAAAACCCTAGCATGATGAGAGATATATTGAATATGCCTCTTGCTCAGAATATAATGAATAATCCTGAAATCATCCGCAACATAATCATGAACAATCCGCAGATGCGTGAGATCATGGATCGCAACCCGGAGCTTGCTCACGTACTTAGTGATCCTGCAACTCTTCATCAGACAATGGAGGCTGCACGAAATCCTGAACTCATGCGTGAGATGATGCGAAATACAGACAGGGCAATGAGCAATATAGAATCTTCTCCAGAGGGTTTTAACATGCTCAGGCGCATGTATGAGAATGTGCAAGAACCATTCCTTAATGCTACAACTTTGGAAGGTGGCACTAGAACTGATTTGGGGTCAAACCCATTTGCTGCTCTTTCGGGAGGTCAAGGTGGGGGGGTAGCCAGAGAACAGGTAACTAATACTAGAACCACCGGTTCTGAAACTATGACTGATTCTCCTGCTCCAAATACGAACCCGCTTCCCAATCCTTGGGCACCTACTGGCAGTAAGTTTTTATTTTGCTCTAACCATTTCTTATTTTGGTTGTTTAGCTAGTAATCAACAGTTCCTTGCTGCCTTTCCAGAGTTACAAAATCAACTGTAGCCCCCTATTTTAAATAAAGTGAACATTATGTTTGTTTTTTATTTCTGTTCTGGTGTTCATGTCATGTATATGGTAGCACTAAATCCCAGAGTTTACATTGATGGTAAAGTTGTTCTTCTCTGTAAGAGTCTATATATCCATTAGAGATTTCAACTACTGTGCGCTCTAAATCGGCATAAATATTATTTTTCTTCTATTTCTCTTGACTTGGTTTTACTGTCTATTTCCATTTGTGCTTTCTGTTGTCTTTTTTTGGTGGAAATTATCAATATCCTTTAAAATTCACCCGTTGCAATTAGTTCATAGTTGGACCATTTCAACTAAATATAAATCTTAGATAGGAAAAACTGTGAAAGCCTCGGTATGTAGATTTAATGGACACGCTATACTTCTTAAGAGGCTGTTAAAATATTGACATATAGGACTTTTTGCTATTATTTATTGCACTATCTTGAGGCATAAACTATTGAGACCAATTACAGCCCTTGTAGTACTGGCTCTGTTTTTTACGATTGTTTGATAAGTGTAATTAGTGCATCGTTACTGATTGGCATTCTTGAACTAAATTTTGCAGCTGAAGGTGTGCAAATGAACTCGACTGCACAGTCAAATCCCAGCGGGGATGTGAGGACTCCGCCTCTTGGTGTCTCTGGTGGACTTGGTTTCCCAGATTTTTCACAATTGCTAGGTTCTATGCCAGATCCCAATTCCCTGAATCAGTTGATGCAAAATCCCGCCATATCCCAGATGATGCAGAGTCTTTTATCCAATCCTCAGTACATTAATCAGGTATCTACTGAGTTTCTTTTGACTAAAAGATCGTTTTTATTCTTTTTCTTTCCCTGTACTTTTCTTCTTCTATATTACCCTTTAAAATTACTCCGTCCTTACTCTCCACCTATTTCGTCTATAGATTATTGGTTTCAATCCAGAGCTGCGGAACATGCTCGATTCCAATCCTCAGTTTAGGGATATGATGCAAAATCCTGAATTTATTCGTCAATTATTTTCTCCTGGGATGATGCAGGTAAACAACCCCCAATACACTTCCTTTACGTGGAACATCCTTTCTTGTGAATTTGGTAAACATGAAAACCACAAGGATATTTTTCCTGAAAAATTTAGAGGATTGTTAAGTGTTTATTTGCCAGAGAAAAGAAGCTTGCACAAAAGATAAGGGCCGAGGTCCTGAGGCTGGGATTTTTTATTTTTTGTTTTTGGGGCTGGGGTTTATCACATACTGTTATAGAATGGCTTCTTTACCCAACTTAGAAGTGCTGAGTATCACTGTAAAATTATTTTCTACCTCTGTGGTTTGAGACCGAGAAATCTTCGTCGATCTCCCTCTTACCCCAAAAGAAAACTTGTTTCTTGGCTAGATCGTAATTGTCAACAATCTCATGCACAAAACTTTGCATTTGTCTTTCTGCTACTTCTGTTTGTAATTTATCTTCTGAACTGTTGTCAGCTTACTCGTGACTAGTAGGTTGCAACTTCCATCTATTTTTTCCCATGGAGATTTTCATTGTATTTTTCATTTTGGAGAAAAGAGGGAAGACTTCTTTTATACATGTTGGACTTGTGGAGGGGCTGAAAAATTTTATATACCTATTTTGCCCAAGAGGCATAGTTTGTGGTTGAAAGTCTGTAAAATATACATTCTTGAACAAGGGGAAGTGAAAGTAGAATTAGGTCATTATAGCTACCTTTTGAAGATGGAAATAAATTCTATCCTCCGCATTAGCGTACACACTCAGTCAATAAATGGTATATGAAAACAAAAGCTTACATCAGGGCTGCTTATTTGGTTCTATTTTTTATTTTTATTTATGTCCTTTTTTCTTTCATTTTAATATTTTTGGGGGCAGGAACTTTGTGTGTAAAAAAGGACATTCCAAGATCTATGTTAATTATATTTATTTCATTTATCATTGCTTTCCCCATTTTCACTGAATTCTATTGCCTTTTTCTCGTCTTAGCAACTCCTGACTTTTCAGCAAGCTCTTTTATCTCAACTTGGTCGCCAGCAGACATCTCGGTGAGTTTGTTCCTCCAATGTCCAAGTAGTTGGCTATAGTACTTGATAATTGTGGAGTAATGCATAATATAATTTTAGTACTGTAACCTGCATTATCGCATATTCACATCCGGTTTATATTATTTAGCTGACTTAATTGTTATGTATTTGCAGAGAACCAGGTCAAATTGATGGTGGAACAGGTACATTTTTTAACATTCTTGTACTTCTCTCTCGCTTTCTTCTTTTAATAGGAAGAACCCTCCCTCCCTCCCTCTTTTTTTTTTGGACTCTAATTTCCTGCTTTATTCAGAATATGTTTTGGCACATTTACGGTTCATCACATTTGTTTCTAATCTATTAATTATTCAGAACATGATCCTAAATTCTGTTGGTTTAGTACTGTGGCTAATAACC